ATTAAATGTCTGTAGAGAACATGCCCCCCCCCCCCGCTCTCTCTCTCTCTTTCTCTCTCTCTCTCTCTCAGCCAAGTATAACTTCTTGGGTACTCAGAAACCCTTTCTTGCCTGGCAAATGTGTAAATGTGCCCTGCTTTCCCACCCATACCTGAAAGAACAACCCAAAATGCAAATAGCCTTGTTATTTTATTAGAAGCATATTTACATTCTTGCAGTTAACTTTGCAGAGAACATTTTACAAAAGTTTTATATAAAGTTTGGAAACTACATAAAAATAACTTCTATCCTTCATAAAGGGAAAATATAAGTTAGTTATATATACTCCACAAAAAAATGGACTGAAAGGAGAAACAGTTCCGTCTGTCCCTTACACAGAAAACATTAGCACAGGCACAAGGAGTACTGCGTGGGCCTTCTCAGGGACGAGCACTGCAACCTGGCTCTGTCGTAGGCTAGGACACCTGGCCAGCCCCATCCAAAAAGGCATGTGGGAGCTGTTAGGGCTCGGGAGGCACTGAGTAGGGATGCAGCAACTCCATGAAGGACAAGAACAATATGAATGACAAGCTAAATCAGGGAATAATCAGACTCGCCTGAACCATGAAACTTGCATTTCACCTAATACTCATTTTTACACCCTGGGCTGCAAAAGGTAATATTGTAAACAAAGCCCAAAGGTAATATTGTAAGTTTGCCTGGTGGAACTGGGTCTGGGTTCTGTAGTTACACTGTTACTACTTCATGTTCCCACAGCACCTGTGCACTGAAGAGACTACAAGGAGACATTGTTTACCTTGTCTAATTTGTGTGAGGCCTGAAAAACATCCCATCTGGGTCAAATACTGAGAGGCAGGCAAGCTCGCTAACCTGAGAACCACTGCCCACACGACCCCAACAGCATATTTAAGATTTGGGAACTCCAAGTCCCCAAGTCCCTTTCTTCTGTTGAATGGCTGCCCCTCCCGTCCCAAGCATCCAGTTATAACCAGTGCAGAGAAAACTTCCAGGGAATTGCTTTAGAAAGACTGCTACAGTGCACCGCTTGGGAAGCGCGGTGGCGCTCCCGCCGAGGGTTCGGATCCCACATACAGACCGGTTCCCGCTCACTGGCTGAGCGAGGTGCGGGCGCAACACACCGAGGGTCGCGGTCCCGTTGCCGGTCCCGGTCCGGTACGGGCGCGACACTGAGGGGTGCGATCCGTTGCCGGACACAAAAAAAGACAAAAAGGAAAAAAAAAAAAAAAAAAGACAGTATCAAACCTTAACCTTTATGAGAGAAAGAGGAGAAAGTCCTCCCAGGGTGTCTCAGCCATTCATTCTATCACCAGCAGAATAGTACCCAGACTCAGTATGCCCATATGATTCCTCAAACCATCATCAGTTTTGTTTGTTAAAAGCAGGTATCTTACTGAAGAAGCCATAAATTTTATATCTGTTTCAGTGGAACAGAAATCAAGGTGAAAAAGGTTTTCTTTGTAAATAAACCACATGCTGGTTCAAGCATTTGCTTTTGTCGGCTTATACACACCCTGCAGCCTGCAGTAACCAACATCTGTGGGAGGCCAACTGAGTAACCCAAAGGCCCAGGAGTCCATCTGAGGTACAGAACCTTTGCCTCTGCCATATCCCTGGGGGCAGGAAGCATTGTGTTTCTCCCTGATGCTTTCTCCTCCTGAAGAGAAGTCCAGTGACTGCCAGCGTGGGTCTGAAAATTAAGGTGGGACTCCCTGAGGGAGGGGGGTGACGCATAGGGCAGAGGGAAACAGCCTTTCCATGTCACCTGCAGACAGGGTGGGCAAGTGTGAGACGGGAGCAGGCTGCGTTGTGAAAGCCTCGCGTGGTGAGGGATTTATCCCTGAGCAAGGCTCCTATGTGGGGCCAAAATGAAAGAGACTGGCAGCACAGCCTGTGCCTTCTCTGTGCCTCCGGAGGCAACACTCAGCATGTTCCACACCAGCTGCTCCACCTAGTACACTTGGTGGCACAGGCTTGGGTGGCAAATGTGTTCCAACCCACCTGGGCACAAGAGGCCAGAGCGCGGAGGCAAGCCTGGATAGTGCCAGAGGGCCAAGCCCTGTGTGTGTGCAGGGAGGGGGGACACGAGATGGCATGAAACACTAAGACCAGCAGAATGAACATTTCAGGCTTCCCTCTTCCCCCAGTTCCCTCCCCCACGTAGACACGGCCTTAAGGAGAAAGCAAACTGGGGGAACCAGAGCAATGAGGAAACCCCCTGAGCAGCTGGCTGCAGGTTGGGCTCTACCAGGAACTGAAATGGCTGTTAGGGGCCTTGATTCTTGTGTGATACTCTAGGGAACAGCTGAAAAAACAATTACGATACGGATGAGCCCATAGTGACTTCATCGGTAGCCCATAGACAGCAGAGATGGTGTTTTGGCAAACAGGAGGAGCCTCAAGGCCACAGAACACCATTCTTCCTGGACCCTAACCCCACCAACAGCCCAAATCACAGCTTGAAGGGATCAGGGGCTCAATGAGAGCAGACATTAGGATTGGGCAATACCTCGCTCTCCACGAGTGAGCATGCCAGAAGTCAGGAAACTGGGGCAGGCCTGTTGGGAACAACTGGTGTGGCACAGGGCAAGGGGCTGGATTCGAGCTAGCACAGAAACAAGCGGGAAGAGGGGTCCTGAGTTACTTGTTCACGAAAAGTGGGAGGTCCCTGGAGGCCCGCCATGCTGTCAGCCACAGCTCAGGTGGCTGTTAAGAAGCGTCTGTAGAGCTGTAGGGAAAGAACTTGGTGGCCTTGCTTGGGGTGGTGGGGCTGGGGCCCTCTGCCTCCTCACTCAGTTTGAAGAACATCTCCTGTTCCCGCTTCTTCTGGTTCAGATCCTCTTCCAGGGCCTACAGGAAAGGGAAGTCAGGTTACGCTCAGTTGGATCCTGTAGGTCACACACGGGTCTCCCACCCACAAGACCCCACTGACGCAGCCTTCTCTGGAAGTTCCAGGCCTCGGTGCTTGGGTAACTAGCTGTTCCCTCTTTCCTTTCCTAGAGCCCCTGCCCCAGAAGAGAAGAACCACCTTCTCCTTCCTCCTGCCACCTCCACTCAGGGATCCCCTGTGGGCCAAGGGATACAGTTTAAGGAAATGCCAATCTAGATGGGGTGGGATGGGAGGAGCAGAGGCAAATCTCCTGGCAGGAAAACAGCCAAACAAATCAAGAATTACTCAAGTTAGAATATGAAGAGAGATTTAGCAGCGAGGGGAGCAGAGATGTCAGGGTCACTCGATGGTTCTGAACCAGGGCACTGTCTGGCAGAAATCACCCTGGGAAGTGGTGTTTTTTTTTTTTTTTCCAAAATACAAGTTCACCTCACCCCCTGAGGTCCTGATTCTTACAATTTGTGTTGGGACCGGGGGTAACTTTTTTTTTAAAGATGACCAGTAAGGGGATCTTAACCCTTGACTTGGTGTTGTCAGCACCATGCTCTCTGAAGTGAGCTAACTGGCCATCCCTATATAGGGATCCAAACCTGTGGCCTTGGTGTTATCAGCACCGCACTCTCCCGAGTGAGCCACAGGCCGGCCCCACTAGGGGATAATTTTGAGGGGAGCTCTAGTTGACAAGCACTGCAGGAGCTTCTCTTGGGCATGTACAAGTTTATCTAGATAAACTGGATACCACCAGAAAGATTTCTTAAGAGCTCTGCAATGATAAGCATTCAATTAAGAAAGGAAGCACAGTATGATGGAAAAAACATGGGCTTGACAGACAGAATTCAGCTTTATTATTAGCAGCTACGTGTCCTTCGAATGTGACTTTTCTCTAAGCCTGTGTCCACATCCGTAAAATGGCAATATTGCCACCTACCTAGCAGGTCTGTTGTGAAGATTAAGTTAAAAACAAATGGGTCACAATCACTAAGTACTTCCTATATGTCAGGCATTATGCTGAGTATGTTAAATTTTATTTAATCTTCACCCAGATAATAATATTATCTCCGTCTTACAGAGAAATTGAGGCTCAGAGAGTTTAGATTACTTGCCCAAGGTCACTCAGCTAGCTGGGGGCAGAGCCAAGATGGAAGCCTGGGTCTAACTTCAGAGTTCAAGCTCAGAAACACTGTGCTCCCCAATTTCTCAGCCAGATAATGCCTGCAATGGTGGGGCTCAGTAAACATGGCTTCCTTATTAAGACATGTCTGAACACCAGCTAGATTTCCTTATTTTCACTACAGAAATTATGGCAGTGACTGTTTTCACAGAATTTGACCAGCATTCTATTGTCTCTCTTTTTAAGACTATTCTTTGGTTGCCCTGCAATAGTCTCAAGAGAAAATTTAATGACCAGAACCTCGGCCCCCCACAACCCCAGCTCTTGATACTTCTTCAATGGTACTAAATTTTAGTGAGTTCCCTCTACTGGTAAGGAAAGATGGGGAAAAAATATTCAATCACAATGCCAATTTTCCAACGTGTTATAGAACATCCATGCAAGGGAGAACAAGGTATTCAAAGTCACGCCTCATTATCTTGGACATACTGATTTGAAATTTATAGTAATTCACACAGATTCCTGGCTCAAGTTCTCCTTTGCTGGATATATTATTATCAAAGTATTTGTGGCAAGCAAACATTATATATAAGCAAGATACAAGTAGGACTGTTTAAGCTTTTATAACAGAAGTGCCTATGGGAACCAGCCACATGAATTCAAAGAGTAAAGAGCTGGGTGTGAGGCATAGGGAGTGGTAGAGACTGTGGCAAACTGAAGAGCACATGATCTGTCTGAAGAGGGCAGCTCCAGCTGATGGCTGCCATGTGGTATGATGGGCTCAGTGTTGCCAGACTTCCTGGGTTTTCAAAAGAAACTGGAAATCCAAGTTTTTATGTAAAATTTCCTTATACCTAAAGGTTGGCAACTTTCAAAACTAAATTTAAATTGCAAATTAAATTTGGTTGGGCCGGCCCGGTGGCGCACTGCTACAGTGCACCGCTTGGGAGCGCGGTGGCGCTCCCGCCGAGGGTTCAGATCCCACATACAGACCGGTTCCCGCTCACTGGCTGAGCGAGGTGCAGGCACAACACCAAGGGTTGCGATCCCGTTGCCAGTCCCGGTCCGGTGCGGGCGCGACACTGAGGGTTGCGATCCGTTGCCGGACACGAAAAAAGACAAAAAGGAAAAAAAAAAAAAATTAAATTTGGTTGGCCAATTATAACATGTCTGTAAGCCTATTTAAACCCATAGGCCATCAGTTTGTGACCTCTACTCTAGGAATACCAATTTAATAATAAAAGCTACCCCTTTTTTTTTTTTTTTTTGTCTTTTTCCGTGTCCGGCAACGGATCGCAACCCTCAGTGTTGCCCCTGTACCGGACCAGGGACCGGCAACGGGATTGCAACCCTCGGTGTTGCTCCCGCGCCTCGCTCAGCCAGTGAGCGGGAACCGGTCTGTATGTGGGATCCGAACCCTCGGCGGGAGCGCCACCACGCTTCCCAAGCGGCGCACTTATCCAGTGCGCCACCGGGCTGGCCCCAAAAGCTACCACTTTTTGAGTTTAGTAACTCAGCCAAGGTCTCATAGCTAGTAATGGGGGAGCTAGGATGTTATCCCACATCTTTCTGACTCCAAAGCCTGTACTTTTTTTTTTTTTGTCCTTTTTTGAGACCGGCCGCACCACGCTCAGCCAGTGAGCGCTGTGAGCGCACCGGTCATCCCTATATAGGATCCGAACCCGCGGCGGAAGCGCTGCAGCGCTCCCAGTGCTGCACTCTCCCGAGTGCGCCACGGACTCAGCCCAAAAGCCTGTACTCTTAAGCACAATTCTGTTCTGCCTACCATATATATATTCTTCTATATGACCTTCTAAGGCCAGAATCAACAATCTCTTTTCTGTTATGTGCAAATAATAGACATTTCTGGCTTTGCAGGCCATATGGTATCTGTTGCAACTATTCAATTGCCATTGTAGTGCGAAATCAGCCATAGATAATATGTAAATAATGAGCATGGCTGTGTCCCAAAACTTTATTTATAAATACAGGTGGTGGGCCAGATTTGGGTCATAGGAAATAGTTTGCTAACACCTGCTTTAAGGAAAGAAATGCCCCAAAAACATTGAACTGCCCCAAAAACTAAGTTCCAGGAGGAAAGAATTGACTTGTCTGAGGCCATGTTCTTTGTTAACAATGACCAAAGTAACATTTTATTGACCCTACCAGATATTCTGTACCCACCTGAAAGAAAGAAATCTGAATTTTTCTAAAAATGCTACACAATGTATAATTATCTCCCCGGCCCCCATACAAAGGAGGGAGCTCAAGGTGCTGACTGTAGTTCAAACGTGTAAAAGACCATTTATTCCAGAATGAAAATCATCACTTCTGGGTCACTGTTCCAGCAGCAACACAAGTAGCTAATGATAAAAAAAATTCTGCAAAGAATTCTGTAAAGAGGCAGCCTCACAAGCAAAATCCAGTGTGAGCTCCTCAGCACACACTCATGGTGCCTTTCCTGAGCCTAGGCGCCCATGAAGCAGTTGGAAATATGAGGCAATCACTAGAGGCAATGTGATTTTTCATTTTCAAACTCTCAGAATGTGCCAAGGGTATAGAACCCCCAGGTGAGAGAACCAGGTGAGTGCTTATTTCCTGATGCCAAAGTCAACCTATGTCACCAGATGCATTATTGATTTGAGTGTCAAGTATCAAAAGTCCCAGCAGGCCATGATTACAAAAATTGATGAGTGTGGGTTTGTTAACAGGAAGGCCTGGGACCCTGGCCAGCTTCCAGCCAGAGAGCTCCATTAGTACGGGGAGGGAAACCTCAATTCAAGGACTTCCAAGGCCATTATGTAGCTGAGGTGGGCAGCTGCCTCCTGTCCAGACCACACTTACAGCAAGCAGAGCTGATGTACAAAGATGGAGCAAACCTCAGGACTTCAGGACACGTGGGACACTAGATGAAGGGTAATTAGGGCAGCTTTCTACTCAGAGAGTTTAGGGGAGTGGAAGGATATTAGTGTGTTCTTGGCCTATACTATGCGCTGGCGACTTTTTGCGTAACACTGTACAGTATTGATATCTCCACTTTACAAATGACCACACTGAGGCCCTGTGATGATTAATTTTATGTGTCACCTTTGTGAGGCCATGGTACCCAGTTGTTTGGTCAAACACCAGTCTAGATATCACTGTGAAGTATTTTTTGGATGTGATAATATTTAAATCAGTAGACTCTGAGTAAAGCAGATTATCCTCCATAATGTGGGTAGCCTCATCCAATCAGTTGAAGGCCTTAAGAGAAAAGACAGAGGTCCCCTGAGGAAGAGGGACTTCTGCCTCCAGACTGCCTTCAGACTTGAATTGCAACATCAGCTCTTTCAAGGGTCTCTGGCCTGTCTGGCAGAGTTGGGACTTGCCAGCCCTCACAATCATGTGAGCCAATTCCTTAAAATCAATCAATCTCTGTATTTTTTTGTGTGTGTTCACACGTGTACATTATTTATGTATATACAGATAGTCCCTGCCTTACGATGTTTTGACTTAGAATTTTTCAACATTATGATGGTGCAAAAACGATACTCAGAAGAAACTTTATTTCGAGTACTCATATGACCATTCTGTTTTTCACTTTTAGTACAGTATCCAATAAATTACATGAGATATTCAGCACTTTATTATGCTGTGATGTTCAGCAGGTTAGGTGTATTAAATGCATTTTCAGCTCACAATGGGCTTATCACTCTCGTAAGTCAAGGAGCATCTGTACACACACACACACACACACACATCCTGTTGGTTCTGTTTCTCTGGAGACTTCCAATACAGGCCCAGAGAGGTAAGATGGCTCTCCCAAGGTCCCAAATCTGGTGACCAGCAAGAACTTCTAAAGAGTACCAT